CACTTCAACTGTCCTGCTAGTGAACCCTAAAAACATGCGCAAATACAATGTGGCCTTTGTGATAATTGAGGGCCAGAGCACACCTCTGATTGGATCGCATACTGCACAACGATTGGACTTGATACATGTACAGCATCACAACATCGCAGTGGTTAACGAACCACGCAGACTTCAAACTCCAGTCGCAAAAAACTCAATGAACTCAAAGAACGACATCAAGAACGCCTATCCGGATGTGTTCCAAAAAACTGTACATCTTGAACTTGACAAAACGGCAAGCCAACTGTAATGCCACCAAGGCGAGTGCCAGTCGCACTCAAAGATAAACTGAAAAATGAACTTGATCGCATGGAGGAGCGACAAATCATCACCATGGTTGTTGAACCTACTGACTGGGTATCAAGTTTGGTAGCTGTCAGCAAACCAAGCGGGAAGATGCGAGTCTGCATTGACCCCAAGCCTCTCAACAGTGCTCTCAAACGGGGGCATTATCCACTGCCAGTGATTGACGACATCTTGCCACAGATGTCAGGTGTGAAGGTCTTCGCTAAAGCAGACTGTAAGGAGGGTTTTCTTCAATGCAAACTTGATTCAAAATCCTCCTACTTAACCACCTTCCAGACACCATGGGGGCAATATCACTACAAATGAATGCCTTTTGGCATCAGTCCAGCCCTTGAAATCTTTCAACAGAAACTGGACCACAATCTTGTAGGTTGGCGTCTACAAGATCGCAGACGACATCTTGATCACTGGACGCGGTGAGACAATCGACGAGGCCAATCGCGATCACGATAGAAACCTTCATCAACTCCTACAGCGATGCAGAGAGCGACACATCAAACTGAACTTTGACAAGCTCGAGTAAAAGAGCTCAGAAGTGACATACATGGGACATGTACTGTCTAGCGACGGGCTCAAGGCAGACCCAAACAAAGTAGCCGCCATAAAGGAAATGCCAAAACCTCAAGACGTTTTGTCGGCATGACAAAATACCTTGCAAAATTCCTGCCCCACCTATCAGACATCAGTGAGCCTCTACGCAAGCTTACTCACAAAGACACTGCCTGGAACTGGACAGAGGAACATGACCAGGCATTCACAGCCATCAAACAATGTGTATCTGAATCCCCTGTGCTCAGATACTTTGACCCAAAACTTCCTACTGAGGGTCGAGACGCATCTTGCAAGGGCTTAGGATTCGCTCTGCTACAGGAAGAACAGCCAATCACATATGCAAGTCGCGCACTTACCTCAGCAGAGACACGCTACTCGCAAATGGAAAAGGAGCTGCTAGCTCTTGTGTTTGGAATGGAGCGCAACCACCACTATGTCTATGGTCACAAAATTACACTTTGGACAGACCACAAACCGCTAGTTGCTATCAGACTCAAACCTCTCAATGCAGCGCCAAAACGGCTGCAGCGTCTTCTCATCCGCTTGAACCAGTATGATGTGACAATCAAGTACAAACCAGGGCCAGAAATGTACTTGGCTGACACATTGCCTCGAGCATACCTCCCACAAACGGACAGATCACCCACGGAAATTGCCGTGGAAAGTATCAAAATGGCAAACTTCCTACCAGTCTCCAAACAACGACTGGCTGAAATCAGACAAGCCACCGCAAGTGACTCAACGCTACAGCTGGTCATACAGCAAATCACAATAGGGTGGCCAGACACAGTGCACGAATGCCCACCTGAAACACACGCATACTTCAATGTTCGCGATGAACTGACAACTCAGGACGGCATAGTCTTCAAAGGCTATCGCTGTGTCGTACCCAAGAAACTGAGAGCAGACATACGACAACGCCTTCATGCTTCCCACACCGGCTTACAGAGCACTCTCAGATGGGCCAGAGAATGCGTATATTGGCCTGGAATGAGCAGTGAACTGAAAGACTTTGTTTCCAAGTGTGAAACTTGCAACATGTACCAGTCCAGCCAACCTAAAGAGCCACTTATCAGCCACGGAATTCCTCAAAGACCATGGGGAAAAATTGGCTGTGACCTCTTCACACTGGGAAACCACGACTACTTATGCACAGTTGACTACTACTCGGACTATTTTGAGATTGACCCACTCTCCGGTAGTAAAGACGGTACTACCATCATCAAGAAACTGAAGAAAAAAACCTTCTCCAACCATGGCATACCAGACACCCTGCAGTCGGACAACGGACCTCCCTTCAACTCGCGACAGTTCGAGAACTTTGCCACGCAATATGGATTTGACCATATGACCAGTTCTCCTGAATACCTGCGAAGCAACGGAAAAGTTGAGAACGCTGTCAAGATTACCAAGCGTTTGGTCAACAAGACCCAACACTCCCGGGGTGACTTCTACTTAAACCTACTCAACTGGCGCAACACACCAACCGAGGGACAATCAGTTCACCCGCACAGCGATTCCTTGGCTGGCGCACTAAGACTGACATCCCAGTAGCCAGCAAACTACTCCAACCAAAAATCATACAGGATGTTGCCGCCAAGAAAACCAAGAAACAGGCCAAGCAGTCATTCTACTACAACAGAAATGCCGCGCCACTCCCTCCTCTGAGTGAAGGAGAAAAGGTACGATTCCAACAAAAACATGACAGCAAAGTGTGGCAGAAAGCACAAGTCCAGAAACAAGTTGGCATGCGGTCATATCAGATCATCACTGAAGATGGTCGCGAGTATCAACGCAACAGACAACATCTGAGAAAGAGTGCGGAAACATTCATCCAAATTCCGCAAACTGTAACAATGCCCGCACAAGACCTGCCAGCTACTCCACAAACTAGCACAACTGAGTCAACACTCCAGCATAAAGATCCACAGCAACAGATCCCTTCACAGGCCTCTGATAACAACGCCCAAGTTGCCAGTGCACCACATAACACAGAACCAGCCATCTTGAGAAGAAGCAACAGAATCCGTGCAACTCCAAAATATCTGGGAACAGTACATCACAAAATAACTCATGGACACTGGACTCTTGAAAGAAAAGACACAGTACAAAGAGTTTGTTATTGTTTATCATAACAGTTGTTTATTGTTGTAGTTGTAGTTTATAGTTGTAGTTAATTGTAACTCTAAAGTGTACCGATCCACAGTTTTAAAAAAGTTGTTAAAGAATTGTTTCTTTTCAAGAAAGGAAAGGTGTAACGATAGTTGGTCTAGCGCCCTCTATCGACCAGTCTGAAGGTCTTGCATTAATGGCCACTAATAAAGTAACCCAGATCAACATTACCTGAGAACATAATCGCCTAGAATCAAGCATCATCCTTAAAAATAGCATCAAGCATTTACAAGCATCATCTAAATTCATTGATGCCAGGTTTGACAACGCTGCCCTGAAATCAGGGATAAAAGCATGACCAGTTTCATTGTGAGGTCCTTAAGGGTAAGGCTATTAATTGGCCATAGACTTTTAAGGTAATATAGTACCACAGTCACATCCCATGTAGATGAATATCTTGGTTTTGGTAGTCGCAAGTTGAACGTGCCAGTCAAAAACTGTTTGACAAGTGGGTGAGATCCCACGGTGATTCCATTCTTTGAAAGCACCACAGCTGATAACGCACTTCTCAGTGTGTTCAGGCAGCTCTATTGTGAGCCATTTTAAAAATGTTCATTCAGGCAGGCAATTACAGATGTGACATCTGCTCGAATTGGATTCGTTTTTGTGCAAGCACAGAACTGGAGCCATGTACCCAGTGCCATTCTGTAGCAGCTCTGGGTAAAGTTTGCCAGGACGCGCTGATGACATCGGCAGCCCTTCCTGATATGCCCTGCTGTCTGAGTGTTTCCCTGACAATAGGCATACTACCAGTCATAGATGATCCCGCAAGGGATGCAGTTTGTATTGGCAATATAACTGGTGGTTGAGCCAAAAGTTTAGGCATTTTTGGAAACCAAGACTGCGTGTGCCATAAAGAGACAATCAGTAACCCACAATCTCAATTTTAGTGAGAACTATGCCAATATTATTCAGTGATTCTTTTAAAATTGCCAGGATTAAGTTTCCACTGAAGGTCGTCATGAAAATGACGGGACGCAAAATCGCCCAGTGTTTTCTGTGCCCGGTAAATGCAAGGCAGTGAGCCAAATTTCTCAGTCAATGCACCATTGCCAGATCTGTCTAGTCAACATATTGAGTGATTGGGATTGTGACCCACCAAAATGTTGTATGTATGCCACTACCATAGTGTTATCAGCTTTCACATGAATGCAAGTGTTTCTTTCACTTGAGAAAAATGCCTCAAGGGCAAGAAAACATGCGTTCAATTCCAAATAGTTAATGTGATGTTTGGCCTCATCACAGGACCATCGCCCCCCCCCCCCCATTGCTTGTCCATTAAGGTTAGCTCCCCAGCCCTCATTTGTTGGAAATGAATTTGCCATCACTGTGGCATGTCTCAACAATGGCTCCCTTTTGGAGCATTTTCTCAATTTCGAGTGAAATAATGGCTGCCTCGGATTCTGAATATTGAATTTCCCGATGCATGTTTGAAAAGGCCATTTTTCGAATTCGACATAATAATTTTGGATCGTGTTGAGAATCCAGATATCATTAGTAAGCTCTCGCCATTTGGCAACAAAGTGTGCGAGTCTACCTGCCGTTTTAAGAGCAATATCACATTTGTGAACGCTTACCGTTGGGTTTGTGTCGCTCGCTTGGATGGAGTGCAAACTGGCTCCTGTTTCTGGTATTTGCCCTTGTACTAGTTGGGGCGTTGGTAGTTTAATCCTTTCCCCTTGTAATGTTGGCGTCTCTCATTGCACCCTCGAAATTTGTCGTCCTTTTGTCCCAGGTTGTACCCTGGGCCAAGTCCCGGGCTGTACCCTGGGCCAAGTCCCGGGCTGTACCCTGGGCCAAAACCATGACTGACCTTGTGGCCAAGTTTGTTATTCTCTTGGTTATTCTTGCACTGTTGGGGCAAGTTGTGAAACTGTGACTGACACTTGTGCCGAGCAGAGGGCTCCCAAATTGTTAGTTGTAGTCTGGTTTTATGAGTTCTCTGTATCGGAGATTTAACTCATAAATTGCGTGGCCAATAATGGCTACCGCGTCTAGCAATTGTGTGATGCGTGCTTTGGCATCGGCATCTTTGGTACATGTACTCATTGAGATTCGATGCAGGAGACTGTGGGCACTGTGGCCTTAAGAAGAGCCTGCTGTACCTTTTGGAACTTGATGTCTGTTGATCGAGTTTGGACTTGAGTGACGCCCATATTTCAGGGTTTACTCATGTGCATTCCAATTGTGGAATGTTTGCAGGACGTTTGTAGTCCTCAAGTTTCATGCCGATCTTTTCGTCGGCAGCCTTGTGTTGCAGCATTTTGCTGACGACTGAGGCCAGTTTTTCGCCCACGGCAGTGCCGGAATCCTGATCGGCGTACAGCTGTTCGAAGCGTTGTAAGACCTCTCCAGTCGCTTCTTCTCCTTCCCCTTACTGTAGCAATTCACTTACTGCTTTGTCGATTTCGACGGAGTCCTCCCCGGAAGAGCTGCTTTCTTCTATCTTTTGTTTCTTTGCAGGTCGATCAGAGAGAGAAGTGAGTACAGCCGTTTGGATGTTATCCAGGGCGTCAGCCATTGCTGTAAGCTGGTTCTGAACTGTAGAAAACTCTTCTCGTGTGAGGCATTGGAACATTCCCTGCCTCTCTTGCCACGAGATTTGGGCATGGCTAGAGGTTTGGGTGTTGCCATTGCCGCCCGATGGTGTCGGCTCCGGGTCTGGTTGAGTAGCTTGTGGTGGTGGATCACTGTCCGACTGCTCCGCAAGAAGCTCTAAGATGTCGACGTTTTCGCCTTCCATGGTAAAGTAAAGTCGTGTGTACGTGCAACTGAAACAACCGGTCATAAAAAATGCACTGAGGATTATGGGTCTCTGGTGTGGTTATATAGTGGGGAAACCATTTGTTTAACAATGGGTTATCTCAACTGTGAAGAAACATACCGGTGCAATCTCACATAAGGACGAGGTGCTAGGGATAGCGAGGTAGAATCAACAGTATAGATGATCGTTTGTTACAGTACTACGGAGAAAAGGCCTAGACAGAATGATATTGCAGGGAAGAGTTGAGTGAAGTTGAAAGCCAGGATGATTCAGGCTTTAATAGATGGTTGAATCAGGCGAAGACTTTAACCGGCACATCACTCAGGGAAGCATGCAGCAATGCTCAAAAGAGATCACATTGGCATTCCATTGTACGACCCACATAGCGTAAGTTATGATGCAATCGCCAACGACAACAACATTTGTAAATGTATCTCAAATTGCTTCATGTTCATTTGACAACCAAAATTGACATTCGAATTTGATTGTTATATCAAATTTACTCATTTTGGGTTGGTTTGTTTTCCTTCTCATCAATTCTTTATTGACCTCCGTGAGGATTATGTTTTCATCGGCGTTGGTTAGTTGGTTTTTCTGTGAACAGTACAACTCAAAAAGTTATGAACTTATGAAATTTGTTTTAAGGGTGGTCCTTGGTAAAAGTATAAATCAATTAGAATTTAGACGTGATCTGGATGCAGGATTTTTCACTATTTTTTATGAACAAATATGCCACAGATCATGAAACTGGGGCACCCCTCTCCCCAATACACAATGAATGACCCGTCCATTTCCGTTTTTTATTAATCCAACCTAAAGTTTCCCATTTATGTGCCAGATTTACTTCACAGAATGGACATTCCAGCTCTAATTTCTAATTCTAGTGAAACAAAATTAATTTTAAGTACAAATTGTAAACAAATTATCATTTCCCCATTTTTTATTAAAAAAACCTGTACTTCCTCTTGCATAAAAGTGAAATACAATTTGAACTTACAGCCGAGACCACCAACGCCAAGTTCAGAAACAAATTGACTTAAGTTAAGATTAATGATGTAGTATTTTGTAAAAGATGTCCCTGCCCCCTCCAGAGAGAGTTTGTTAGATATTTTGTTTCAATATGTAACTCTAAATTCAAATTATTCTCTCCTTTTAGGTTATTTTCCCAACATGTGGATGCCCACCCACAAAAAGATCAGGGATAATACTGCAAGAGGGACTTGCGCAATCCGGCCCCCAGCATGCTGGCAGCTTTTATAAAGTCAGTGTCCCTAACCAAAATGTAAGATTTCTATTGTCTGCCCAAAAATCAAAAGGCTTGATAAGACTACCAAATTGAAGTATTTCTCAAGCATTAGTGCTGACAATTTTTCTATTGTTTTAGTAATAGTGACCTTGACCTTTGACCTGTCTGCCCCAAAAGCGACAGGCTTCTTAAGACTATCCAGCACAACCCACAAACTAAATTTCAAGTTCCTAAGTAAAGTACTGTTATTTTTCAAGTATATATAGAAATAATAGTTGCCTTTCAGAATTTTTTTTTTTAAGCATGACGTGACCATCTCACATGACCATCTCTGGGGCAGTCACAGTCACAGATCGTCATAGATGGCGGTCTCTATGGCCTCCCTGATCTTTCTATTCCAGAAGCGTTCCTCTCGTGCTGTGACCTGTACATTGTCCAAGGTGATGTTATGCCTCTGTTGAGCTAAATGTTCACCCACAGCTGTGGGGGGGGGATTTGATCCTGTGTGCTCCTTGAATCTTGTCCCCAGAGATCTGCTGGTCTCCCCAATATGTATGCCTATACATTCGGGGCAGTTAAATTTGTACATGACTCTGCATTTGATTAAGTCGGGAGTTGGGATGTACATGTACAAGGAAGGACCTGATATTATTAACAGGCTTGTGGTAGGTGTTGACACCGTGGTCGCAGAGTATGTTGGTCAGCATTTCCGAAACCCCTTTGATGTATGGAAGAGTGATGTTTGGTTTCCTCGGTTGAACATCACCTTTCTTGCTAGGATTCTTTTTCTTGGTTTTGGAGTTTTGAGCATCCATGTTTTTTTGTTTGTTTGTTTTTTTTGGGGGGGGGATCCCCAATGAAATCTCTGCCATCGAGTGACAAAAATTATGAAACTCGTTACATGCACAGACAAACTTATCATGAACATACCCAAGAAAAGAGGGTTTTGGAATAATGGGTAATTAATTATCCATATGCACAAATGGTAATTCTGTTGTGTACACTACGCATATGGGGAAATTCAGTTGTCACAAATTTTTCGCTGTGCAGCAACCCCTGGTCCGAAATTTATATTTTTGGTATCAAAAGCTGCGCAAGACTAGAGGCTAAAAAGCTCGGATCACGATTTCTTTTTCTTTCTTTTTTTTGAGGCTATTGCAGAAAAAGTTGGAAAAGCGGATTCTGGTGCCAAAAAATTGATTCTAGATGCTCTGTGGTGCGATCTTGGGCAATTTTTGACTACTGGCAAGGTTTTAGCAAAAGATCATCATTTAAACATGGTTTTCGAGTTTGGAGTCTTTGAATCGGCTATTCTGAGCTATACTATAGAATCAAATGTAGACTACATTTTTTTATTCAGGGACGAAAATGGGGGGGGGGGGGAATGACATGTCCACCCATCCCCGACCGATCGACGCCCATTGTTGGCACCGTGCTTCAGAATGAAAGACTTTAATGTATTAAATTGTATACGTAGGGCCTACATGACATGCCTACATGCTGTAAAGTGTCAGTTGGTGAAATCAATAATTCTGAGAGAGACCCTACAACCGTTAAAATAATTTTTCTGAGCATGGATGTGTGTGTGGGTAGGCCTTTATGTGTTTTATGACACACTGCGGTACTTTCATAGGCCCCCAAATTTTGTGTAGGCCCTAGGCACAGTGCCTACTGTGCCTTTTGGTAATCCAGGCCTGACGAAACTGTCACAAAGGTGGTCACGTGAGCTGAGGGATTTAGCCACAACGCTGAACGAAGAGGTCGTGACAACCTCAAAAGCTACGTCATGCTTAACAAAATCATGCTCTGTTCAAAAGGTAGCTATTATTTCTATGTCAATATGACAGAGTCCAATATCAGTAATAAGTATCCATGCTGCTATTTCTCAAGTTATCAGATTGACAAGATTTCTATTGTTTTAAGAATAGTGACCTTGACCTTTCACCTTTTGGCCCCAAAAGCAATAAGCTTTTTAAGACCCCCAAGAACAACCCAAAAACCAAATTTCATGTTCCTAAGTAAAGTATTTCTTAACCCTAACTCCCTAGGTATGCAAAATCGTATTGAAATTGGAGGATTCAGGACTGTTACTGCGTTGACAAGATTTTTATTGTTTTAGCAATGCATGGGTGGCTTGTGCATAAAGCGCTCGCCTCTCACCAAGGTGACCACGGTTCGAATCCTAATTCGAATCCTTTTTCTCCGGGCCCTCCAGTTTTTCGTCCCTCCGGAAAAATCAAACACTTTCGATATCAGGCTGTGTGATCATATATGGGTTGATGTGGCCGGCAGCCATATGCACCTTTACGTGCCAGCAGCCCCGACCACATTGTAGCCGCATCCTTCGCAATTCAGCATACCAGCTACGAGTAAGGATGATTAACCTCCCATATTATTATTATTATTTACCCTTAACCTGTCGGCCCCAAAAGCAATAGGCTTCTTCAGACTACCAAGAACAACCCACAAACAAAATTTCAAGTTCCTAAATAAAGTATTTCTCAAGTTGTTACATTGACAAGATTTCTATTGTTTAAGCAATATAGTTACCTTGACCTTTGACCTGTTGGTCCCTGTAATATTGTATCATATGCACTTCATACATATGTACCTGATGACATCACAGGCCACAGATTGACCTCTATGCAGTTTTTCAATACCCTTTTTTCAACAGTCAGCTGAGAACCGTGTGTGTGTGTCTCCATTGATTCAGCCATCTTTTCCCACATTCCCTGTGAGCAGCGAGCCGACCAACGTTTGTCTCCGGTGGAAGAAGTACGTCAAAAGATTAGAGAACTTATTTGTTGCTTTTAACATCGCGGATCCGACTTCAGTCCATCTAAAATACAGAATTCGAGAGGTACACCTTCCGCCAGTCAGAGCAGGAAACAAGAGAGACTGTTGCACAATTCCACACACGACTCCAACGTCTAGCAACCCACTGTGGGTTCCAGGAAAAATACAGGGAAATAAAGTCACAAACAATCCAGACATGCTCGTCGAACAAACTTTGTTGATAACCAACTCCGTGAACAATCCCTCACGCTTGTACAACTCCTCCAGACTGCTCGAAAATACAAGGCTGCAGACAGTCATGCTGCAAAAATGGAACACTTGGCAACTCCATCAACTGTGAACAAAGTCGAGGTTAAAGAGCCAACGCAAACGGGCCCCTGTCCCTCTTGTGCACACCATTCCAACACTACTACACAACAGCCAAAGTACAACAAAAGACATCCACAGTCAAGACGCCCCCAGCAGTGGCAGTCACACCAGTGAAGCTCGCGCACCTGTCCCAACTGTGGTGGCCGTTACCCACACGGCAAAACTGTCCAGCAAAAGGCCAAACCTGTCACGCCTGCAGTAAGCAAAATCACTTTGCTATTAAAATACTGTATGAGCCCAGCCAGACCCCAACAAAGGTCTAACATTCACGCAGGCGATATCAGTCCTCTGGACAATAGAAATGGTAGTGATGCTCCACCCACAGAGCTATCATACCACCAACCAACAGTGAATATGCATTTCACCTCCGTTCAACAACCTTGACCAAGCCAATGATTAGGGCTGTGCCGAATATTCGAATACTCGAATATTCGATCTATTATCGAATATTTGAATATTTATTTTCGAATAAGAATATTCGGAGGTGATATGCAATGAAATAAAAAGGTGGAAAAAAACTTTTTTTTTAATAACAAAAGTGCATTCTCAAAGTTAAGTTTCAAGTTGTTGCCAAAAAAAACCCATAAAAGTAGCTT